AAAAAAAAAAAAAAAAAAAAAAAAAAAAGCCTGGAGAGAAAGCATATGAACAAAACCCTTAGTGTTTTATTGCAGATTCGGGGTCCTCTGGGGTAGCTCAGCAAAGCCCCGCCTTTGAAAAAAAAAACAAAAAAACAAAGAACGAATCCCATGGATGAATATTCTTATCTAGTGGATCGTAACAGTCTTCTTTTTTTTTTTTCTTTTTTTTTTAATGTGGTCCGATGGACCACGGATCAGATCTTAAACTGATCAGAACAGATACTAAACTTGATCTTAGCCAAAAGGCCGAGAAATGTGGATGGCCAAAACTCTGATGGAATTATGTTTGTGTCATGTCCGTTGCCGTCTCCAGCCACACAGAGGACAGTGGACGGGCCGTCTGCGAAAGACTGGCGCGGTGGAAGAGGTGCTAGCCAAAACATCATTCCGAGCTCCACGGGCGCTGCTAAGGTAGATTTTCTGTTATGTGAACTTGTCTGGCATTGTTTTTTTTTTTCTGCTTGTTGTTCTATGATTGGCTTTTATACCAGGTTCGGTTTATTTTCAATCCCGTGCTTGTTTTTATCCCGTTTTTCACTCTCTTTGTGTCGCTATGTGAGGCTGACCATGGGCCGTGGTCGGCGTGGTGGGGATTTGTTTCTCGTGCAGGCTGTCGGTAAGGTACTCCCAGAGCTGAATGGAAAGCTCACGGGAATGGCATTCCGCGTTCCCACACCTGACGTCTCGGTCGTTGATCTGACTGTGAGGTTGAAGACGCCAGCATCGTACGAGATGATTAAGGCAGCGATGAAGTAAGTTTGATGTCCTTCATTGCATTGCATTGCATTGCATTTGTTTGTTGGCAGCTATGAAGTGAGTTTGATGTCCTTCATTGCATTGCATTTGTTCGTACCACAACTTTCTCTTGTCAGTCTTCATTTTGTGTGTTGCACAAATGCCCTATCGTTCATTCTTTGTGACCACCGCTTGTCAACTTGTGACGTTGTCTTGTGACATTGTCTAATGTAGAATTGCCTCTTTTTGTGACAAATTCCCTTTTGTGTGTGGTGACAGGATTGCAGCAGAGGGTCCCATGAAGGGAATTTTGGGGTACACTGAAGATGCCGTTGTTTCAACAGATTTTGTTGGGGACAGCAGGTTTGTTATCTGAGTATTTCTTCACTTTCTCCTCCCTTTCTCCTCCCTCTTCTCCTCCCTCTTCTCCTCCCTTTCTCCTCCCTCTTCTCCTCCCTCTTCTCCTCCCTTTCTCCTCCCTTTCTCCTCCCTTTTGTTGATGACTGGTTCGGACTGCTGATGTTTGCCGTTCATTCTGATTGGAAATCCAGCCTACCTTTTTCATGCAGATTCATTAGGCCAGATCGAATTTCAAGATTGATTCGGGGTAAGGAATATAATAATATATGGCCCAGCGGAAATAGTTCAAATAGGGCATTTTTCATTAAACCACGAGTACACCCGCACCTAAAATCCCAAAGCTACCTGCCCACTGTGTGCCGCTCTGAGCCTTCTGCGTGTGGGTACCTGCAGTGGGAATTTCGGGAGTGGCAAAAAAAACGAAAAAAAAAAAGACAGGAAAAAACATGCCAGAGATCAATGATATTGTGGAAGGATGTCATGGAGGCCATACTCAAACGATCACTTTCCATAATGCATCTGACCACTATTACAGGGAGAGGGAAACATTRYTTTTKKYTTTTTTTTTCTCCTTTTTGTTTGTCTTCCTTTGGCTACCAGCAGGGCAGCACATATTCCTCTTTCTCAAAACGCCCTCGCAGAGGGCATACTCACACTAGCGCTGTTGAAATGCGCCCAGCCACTTTCACGGCCAGAAGTTTGTTGGCTTTTTTTTTTTGTGATTCTGACAGCTGTGCTCCCCGTGTTCCTCGTTCTGCCGAAGTACCCTCACTGAGGGCAGTACTCCAAAAAGTGTATCCAACCATAATCATGGCCAAAGATTCTTTTGTTTTTTTTTGGACGTACGGATTTGACATGCGCCCAAAATTTTGAAAACCTTCTGATGCTCCGACCCTTCCCTTTAGGCCGTCCTTTACTTGTGGCGACAAGTTACTTTTGCTGCAAGGCTGAGGCCGTGTACTACTGGTGGTTTAAATATTAAATAAAATGCGAGGATTCTCCAGCACACATTTTATACACCATCAGACTCCCTTGCAATTGCCCTTCAGCTTGATGCTGATCTCCCCCACGTACCGCCAGAGGATTGTAGTTAAACCAGGGAAAGAGGCTTTACCATTGCTGTCCTACAAGTAGCAATGAGGGACCATCAGCTGGATGCTGATCTCCCCAACTTGAGCTTCGCAATGCTCGAGCAGGTGAGTGGTTTCATCCTCCATCCCACATTTCTGCCTGCATTGTGCATGCACCTGGCCATTATAATGGCCATTGTACATACGTCTGACCGCTGGGAGTTGTGGGACAACGGCATCATGGTCCATGCCATGACTGATGTTACCGATTTCTTACATAATGATGGTGTTTTCTTGCTTGACACCAATCTGTCCGCAATCTCTTTTATGCCGAAGATCATTCCTCTGGCCCCTTGGAGAGGTTGGCGGAGGCAATAGCTGCGGGGGGGAAGAGAGACTTACCTGGACATAACTGGGGGCTTCATACAGCTACGAGGACAGTCTTCAGCAGCAACCGGCATAAGGAGTTGTCACCTTCACTGGTCAGTGTTTGTGGCATCGTTGACAGGAGAGCGCGACATAGAGAGTTCTTCTTTTCCCCTGATTTTCTCCGATCCTCCCTAGCCGCTATTCTTCTTCTCCTTCTTCTTCGTCTTCTCCCCCTCCTTCTCCTTCAGAGAGAGAGAGAGAGAGAGAGAGCAGGCAGTGACTAATTCGGGCCTAGGGTTGCCCAGGATCTGATTTTGATAATTTGGGAGAGAATTATTTGGGCATTTGATGGGGGAGATGATTGTACATTAGTTATTTGTTGTCTCCCCCTTTTCTCCTCTTTGTCCTCCCCCCCACCCTCCATCATCCGGGTTTTCTCCGCATGAGTGTGCGCAAGGAGGGTTCTTTCTTCCATGTATGTCTCCCCTCCTTGCTGATCCGACATGTGTGATGATGTCTGTGCGGGTGGAGTCTGAGGACAATGTCAGGTCATATCTTTGAGTCTTCCCCCGTGCTACATTGCATTGTATTGTTTCTTTCAGAATGTCCACTGCTCATTTGTGGATGGCATTGTTTGTTCTGAGTCCTGGTCATCACACTGGTGCTCCTTGGACGTGTGAAGACGAGTGATGCGTCATCCTACCTATGCGGGCCTAGCCTACCTCTAATTCCCTCCTGCACCCTCAAAACAGCACGGCCACAGGTAAGTACGAGGCCCGTAGGCCTTCCGATGGCACAAGTAACCGGGCGGGTCACACACACACCCAACCAATCGTGCAGTCAGGCAAACATAACGAAACTCAGCAATCATGCACGCATACGTACTTAGAAATCTCAGCAGAATTTAGGTATCTCAACAAGTCACTCAGACCACTGGCAATACTCAGAACTGCAGTTCTTTCAGTCCGTGATTTTGCAGGTCATTACAGATTGCTTGACCAAAGGGGGAGAAAAAAGGCTACCCTCCGCTTGCCCTTCGCCCTTTTGCCTCCCTCCCCTCTTCCCTCCTTCCCCTGCCACCAGGCTTCTCCCCTCCCCCTTGGTTCCCTCCACCCGCCTCCTTGTGTTCTCCTCCCCATGCCCCCGATCCCCGTCGCCTGTGGCACCAGCCACCCCTGCAGTCCCGACACCGCCGACCCCCATGTCCTTGTCCCCCACCACTGCTTTGCCCTGGTCCCTCCACCCCTCGGGCTCCTCCCATCCCCTCCACCGCACCCTTGAGCACCCCCGACTCCCATTCCTGCCACACCACCGTGGCCCAGCCCCTTGTGAAACGCCCCAAACCCCACTCCCCACACCCCTGCCCCTGCATTCAGGGGTACCCCCAACCAAGGAGGGGGGGGGGGGAGGGGGAGGGCTGTGTCCCTGTGGGGTTCAAAAAGCAGGTTTTTTTCCCCCCCCGGAGATTGGGGTGCCCTCTCCTGGACCCCTGGGGTCGACAAACCTGGAGATATTATTGACGCGTTCCTCCTCTTCTCCGTTTCTTCTCTGCCTTTGATTATCTTCTGGTTACTTGATGCTTCAATCTGAGACTACATTGCATCTGTGGGATGAAGACATGCATGGTGCTGGCATTGTGAGCTTCTCGTGAGTGGGTTCAGTATAAGTATTTGTGTTCAGATCAAGTAATGACTTTGTGCCCTGGTGTGGGTGGACAGGTCCAGTATATTTGATGCAAGTGCAGGGATATCTTTGAGTGACACTTTCGCGAAGGTTGTTGCTTGGTATGACAACGAGTGGGGTTACAGGTAGGTGGGCATATTGACCTTTTTTTTTTTTTTTTTTTTTGACCTTTTGACCTGTGCAACTCTGTAAACTTGTGGTCCCCACACATTTGCTGAGTTCTGTGGAGAGCTAATATTGATTTCAGTTTCGTGGATTTCTACCAGCACCTTGTCAGGACTCGGGATTGGTTCTTTATTCTGCATTTTCGATTCCTTTCTGCAGATGAAGCTTTGCAGCCTTTGCCATTTGTTTGTATAGGTCTCATAGATCTACCAATGGTCTAGGGGCTACCAACGGGGCCGCTTGGACACCCTAGTCTGCCCGGGTGGCTCAGCCTGGCAAGGTCCAGGCCAAGGCCCGCACAGGAAATTGAGCAAATAAAAGATAAACAATCAGAAGAAAAACTATGTCATGCAGGGCACGGATGTGGCTGCTATAGGGTTCCCCGTAATACTATCTATCTACACTCTCTCTCTCTTTTCTCTCTCTCTCTCTCTCTCTCTCTCTCTCTCTCTCTCTCTCTCTCTCTCTCTCTCTCTCTCTCTCTTTTGGCAGCTCTTTCTAATAAACAAGAATGTAGATAAAACACATCTCCTGGGAAATCTTCTCGACCTGGTGGTCGACGTAACAATAAAGAGAGAGAGAGAGAGAGANAGAGAGAGAGAGAGAGAGAGAGAGAGAGAGAGAGAGAGAGAGAGAGAGAGAGAGAGAAATGTAGAGGGAGGTTGCGTGCTTATAGCTGCGCCAGTCCGACGTGTCTCGGCACTGTCGTGAAAGTGTTATTGTGCTGTTTTTGTTATCTTTCTGATTTGTTGTGTTGTAGTGTATCACTGTTATGTGTCTCTTTTTTTTTCCCTTTTTTTTTCTTGTGGAAGTGTTATCGTGTTCACTGTTATGTGTCTCTTTTTTTTTCCCATTTTTTTTTCTTGTGGAAGTGTTATCGTGTTATGTGAGACCGTTGACGATGTGGGATTTTGACATCAAAGGGGGGGAAGAGAAGTAGGAAGACGTTGTTTATGAGCTTGAGAGGAAGAGGATGGGGAAGAGAAAGGGGAGGCAGAAGGCTGGCTGTTGCTGTTGCTGTTGCTGTTGATGTTGCAGAGTAGTGTCTTGTGCAGTGAAGCTGGCAGTTCTGCCTGTGACGGCACAGGTTGGCTTAGCGTTAGTGTGTTTTATGTACAGAGAACGAGGTGGGTTTTGTGGATTCTTTGTCCGTGAAATGAGTACTGGTCGGGTTTCGAGCATTCAGTGTATGTGAAAGTTGGCAGTGAACCCGAGTTCAGTCCATACACCGATGAACTGCGGGAGTATAGACCCAAGCTTGAATTGGGTATCAAGGGACCGTGAAAGGTTGGATTACCCAATTTAGTAATTTGGAGGAGGGTTGGATTACCCAATTTAGTAATTAACCCCTCTTCTTTCTGCTGTAATGGAGGGTTGGATTACCCAATTTTGTAATTTACCCCTTTCTGATGTAATGGAGGAGGGTTCCATGATAAGAAGCGTGCATCAGGGAATAGTTTGACTCGGGGTTTCAGATGAGCTTTTTTTTTTTTTTTTTTTTTTTTTTTTTTTTTGGGGATTTTTTTTTTTTTTTTTTTTTTTTTTTTTTTTTTTTTTTTTTTTTTTTTTTTTTTTTTTTTTTTTTTTTTTTGTTGGTTGCTGTTGGACTCAGCCTTTGCCTGGGAGGAGGGGTGATAAGAGCAGCCCTGCTACCAGGCCCATGCTGGACGCCCCTTTCTGTAGGCGCCTGCTGGAAATGGGGTCCAGCGTCCCTTGAAAACAACAGAGATCTTATACAGCAGCAAAAGAGATGTTCAGATTCGAGAATGGTTTTATAAACCGGGAAAGAAGATTATGGTAGTCAGGCAGTGGATGAAATTGGACAACGTGGTGTGACTGTGGGTATGTGGTGGAACATGAAACTCGTTTTGTCCTCCTGCCTTAACCTGAACAGGGACTCCCCACCCTATATCCGTCAATTGAGTATCTCTTTCTTTGTCTTTCCGTGCTTGAGGCCTGACTGATGTTATATCGTCCTGACTCCTGACCTCTCTTGCTGTGCAGCTGCCGTGTGGCGGACTTGATCAAGCACATTGCCAACGTTGCTGCTCATGCGCGAACAGCGAACTGATAGAGTATGCGGTAGCACTCATGTTTGCAGCGGAGCGATGTCAGTTTTCCGGGTCGTCAGGGTCTTCCGTCCACTTTGCGCTCGTGGCATATGTCCGCCAAAGACAACCAATCTGTTCAACTGTGTAGCCCATGGTCTGCTCCACTGCCCTGGTACAAGAGTGCACGTCTGTGGTACAAGACTGCACCTTGTGTCATCCCGTTTTATCTCTTCCAGGTCCTCATACACGATTTGCGTACGATAGGTTGGTCGCATCAGTCAGGACTCGGGAGTAGCGTGTTCATCTCCCCTCCTTCCTCGAGATGGGTTAGCTTTTCCACCTGCCACATTTTTTGCAGGAAATGCAATGAATGTGGCAGGTAGATTCTGAGATATGCCTTTGATCAGTGGGTTGGCGCCATTTTGTGGGAGTGTGTTTTGGGTGAGAAAGGCGTGCGGACTTTGCAGAGGATAACTTAACATCAGTGGAGGGGGGAACAAATTATGGGCTGTGTAGTGGACACTCTGGCGAGTCATGGTTACTGGCGCAAACAGGTGGATGATGCCATGAACAGAGTATCATGGCATGAATAATAAATATTGATTCCGAAGCAGTGGATAAAGATTCACTTGCATGGTTTTACGGTCAGGTACTTTTTTGGAACAAATGAACGATGTGGGCGACAGCTCGTCTGACGTAGGCACATGAGAAGCAACAGCTGGTTGTGTGGGCATCTACTGGTAATCTAGGGCATCTACATCAAGCCCTTGACAGTGCCTGTCGGCATTCTTTTTTCTTTTTTTTTTTTTTCTTTTTTTTTTTTTGGATCACATTGATGCTGTGGCTTCTCGGCATTTTTAAATATGACATTTGTAGTTTCTGATTTTTTTGGGGGGGGTCACACCTATTCTTTGGTCTTCAGATGACTTGCGACATTGTTCTTGGGTGCGAGGAATGTCGTTAGAGACTGCTCCGGCGTTTTGGAATATAGGGAGAGCACTGAGCAGAGCATTTTGGGGGTAGCCTGAGAGCAGGCGTACCTTCTGTTGGGCACGTAGCAACAGCTCCAAATTTTTGACCTCTTTGTATCACAAGCTCATGGCATAGCATTTTGGGGGTAGGCCGACTGCAGGCCTACCTTCTGTCGGGCAGGTTGCGACAGCTTGACAGCTCCAAATTTCTGACCTCTTTTGTCTCACAAGCTCATAGGTCATGTTGAGGTGATGGTGAAATTGCACTCAGAAACATGCAACATCCGATAGCATTCACTTGGACATATCCAAAGGTCGGTCCACAGGGACCTATCATACATCGTGACAAGACATCAATCCTATCAATTCTTAGCCAGATACATCCGCAATCAATTACGTAGGAAGGCAATCCGAAGTATGGGAGATGGAGGAAAAGAAAGGACAGGGACCGAGAAGATAAGCGAGAGAATATACGAAAAAAAAAAAAGATGAAGACGAGTAAACACGGCATCAAAGTCTTTCTCCCGAACGTGACTTGCTAGAGTAGGCTCAAAAATAAGAGAATGAATAACATAGCCTGTAAAACTTAAGCCGAATGTAGTCATCATGCCCATCTCGTCAATCTCCATGGCAAGTAAGTCGACGGAAGACGAAGTGACATGTTTCGTCCGGTCGCCAAAACCGGAACTCTTCAGGGGTCTTCGTCACGGATGACCAAGTGACATGTTTCATCCGGTCGTCGAAACCGGTACTTCGACGACCGGATGAAACATGTCACTTGGTCATCCGTGACGAAGACCCCTGAAGAGTTCCGGTTTTGGCGACCGGACGAAACATGTCACTTGGTCATCCGCTGACGAGATGGGTATGATGCCTACATTCAGGTTATACCAAGTCACGTTCGGGAGAAAATCTTTGATGCGTTGTTCTTCTTTTTCGTATCTTCTCGGTCTGTCTTATGCTTTTTCTTTCCTTGTCCGTTTTCTTTTCCGCTCCTCTCCCATACTTTGGATTGTCTTTTTACGTAATTGATTGCGGATGTATCTGGCTATTGATGTCTTGTCAGGATGTATGATAGGTCCCTGTGGACCGACCTTCGGACATGTCAAAGTGAATGCTATTGGATGTTGCATGTTGCTGAGTGCAATTTCACCATTTCACCTGACAACAGGCCCACCTTCTGTCGGGCAGGTAGTGACAGCTCGGCAGCTACAATTTTTTGACGTCTTTGTCTCACAGGCTCATAGGCCATCTTGAGGTGATGGTTATTTTGCTTGCCCAGGTTCTGCAGAATATGAAGGACCGGGGTCGCGCGCTGTTGTGCGTGGAACATAGCCCTGGTTCAACTTAACATTGCCAGGAAATCTGTCTTTCTAGTGGGTTCACTTCTAGTGTTTCTATGGGGGAGGCAATAGCAGTGAAGCCAGGTTAACATGCTATGGATTTTGTTTTTCCACTGGGTGTCACTTGTAGTGCTTCTGTGTGGGGGCCAATGTGCAGAGATGGATGTTGTAATTAGAGCCGTCTGTTGGAGAGGGGGAACAGAGGTGAGGTTCATGCCGAGGGTAGCCTTGTCTCTTTCTAGTGTCACTTCTAGTGCTTCTCTGTGGGGGGGCCAATGTGCATAAATGTTGTACTTGAGAGTCATGTGTCACAGAGGGGCACATTGGTGATGTACATTGCTTAGTGCTTTTGTGTGGGGGCCAATGTGCATGAATGTTGTAAGTGAGAGCCGTGTGTTGCAGAGGGGGACAGAGGTGATGTATAGTCGAGGGCCAGGCTACTACACTTCTAGTGCTTCTGTGTGGGGGCCGATGTGCATAAATCGGATGTGTCGTAATTGAGAAAAAAAAAAGAGAGTCGTGTGTTGCAGAGGGGCACAGAGGTGATGTACATTGCTGAGGGCCAGGCTACCATCCGACCAGCCTGGAGCCCTTGAGGCTTGAATCGACAAGGTCAGCAGCGCACTATGAAGCAGCCTTGATTTTGCTGAGCTTAAAGGTTTGTAGACCTTCGTTCTAAATGGCGAAGCTGCCAGCGAACATAACAGATACAACAAAGATAACAAAGAAGCTACTACAGCTATGAACACAACCAAATCTCGAACATAGGGCTTGTCCAACCGACTGCAGTCAGAACAAGGCACTTCATCACCAAACTAAAACAGAGAAAGAGAAAAAAGACTGAAGGAAGAGAAGATGGAAACGAGAGTAGATCTCTACACTAGAAATGTAGTGGCGTGAGAAATCTCACATCTCACATCCGGGCGGATACTGATATTTAAAAATTGTTGGGAGACCCGGGCGGTCCACTGTGCTACCGACCGAAGGCCAGGATCATTGCCCGATCGCAAGATTTTAAGACCATGCAATGAATAGGGTCCTACCTCATTTTTGTTTTAATAAAAGGCCCCCTAAAGTGCTAGTGGTGCTGGTTGAAACAGGCACCACTAGCACCCGGGGAGAGGCTCCATCTATTTGTGGGGAGCATCACCTGCTGGAAAACGGGTCCAGCGTCCCATATACAAAAGGATTCAGGATGACCTCACGGAAATTAACTGAGAAAACGCCTGCCAGCATTGATTACTCTGGTGTCCAGAGGAAACTGTGCAGGTTATTTAGAAATAGGGGGAAACCTCTTGGCAGAAAAAAAACACAAAAGAGAAACACGGTCAACCGCAACATTCCGCAATCATTTTCATGTCCCCTGATCATCCAAAATGACATAGCGTAGTTCAAATGCACACTTTCACTTCATTTTCTGTGTGTTATTATTTTTTTTTTTGTTGTTGTTGAAATGAACAGTAATCTTATTAGGCCCCGGTGCCCAAGGTAAAAATGCAACAAGAGTCGCCTCGGGGCTAAAGTCCGGGAATATCCTCGAGGGCCATCCGGTCTCTGGATGGGTGTGGGTGGACACATCGAGTACACACCCACCCCCCGTTGTGGTATACCGAGGGGTCGCTGACGTGGCAGCAGATCAGATCATTGGCCAGGTGAGGGGAAGTTTCAGTGCGGTGACCCGTCCCTCAACGGTTACCTCGACAAGCGCCACCGCAAGGTGCCTTCCCTGGGATACGAAAAAGACATGACCACTGCTAGATGGCGCTGGACGCCCATCAGTCCCATCACTCTTTTCTTCTTCCCAGACAAAAATGCAACGTGAGTCGCCTCAGGGCTAAACCGTCGGAATATCATCGAGGGCCATCCGGTCTCTGCATGGGTGTGGGTGGATACATCCAGTACACATCCACCCTCCGCTTTGGTATACCGAGGGGTTGCCGACATGGCAGCATATCATTGGCCAGGTGAACGGGAAGTTTCAGTGCGGTGACTCGTCCCTTGACCTCGACAAGCGCCGGAAGGTGCATTCCCTGAGATACGAAAAAGACATGACCACTGCTAGACGGCCATCAGTCCCATCACTCTGTCTTCTTCCCAGATCCGTTGTAACGACGTCAACCACCGTTGGATTCTCTGAGTCCTCTGGGAATTGTTGGACACCTGATCGAACATTCGCTGCCCAGGTTAGAAAGACTATATTGAAATTAAAAGGTTGCATCTCTCTCTCTCTCTCTCTCTCTCTCTCTCTCTCTCTCTCTCTCTCTCTCTCTCTCTCTCTCTCTCTCTGTGTGTGTGTGT